ATAATTTCAATAGCTCAGCTATTACAAAATAAAAATTAAATTGCTGTCAATATGAACCACGAATTAAATCAAAGCCTGGAACCGGAACGCGGGGAATAGTTTTGAACCTTAAGCTGAAGCCCCGGCAATAATTTTGTGCTTTCAGCCCTGCTTTTTGCTATGAGAACAATCCAATATCAACACTCAAATTAAAGTGTTGTAAAATAAACAAGCCGTCAGTAAATATTAATATCGATAACTCAACAGCAAGAACTACGAATGTTAAAAGAAACGCACTCAGTTTCTACACTAAAAGAAGATAATGCAGTTAAAATAGTAAGGGGAAAAAATCAACAAATAGCGCACCAAAGTTGCGCTTTGTCTTGTGGAGTGCACTAACACATTCGACTCAGAGAAAAATAAAATAATATAAAAGACCACAACCCAACCCACAACTTATAACAGCAGAGCACAACCAATAAGAAACCTCGGTATGCAAGTGGAAAAAGGAAAAAAAAAATGATACGAAAATTATATAAACATTATAGGCAGCCGTAAGTATGACTAAACCAACCGCAAAACAGCAACAGCAACAACACAACGATATGTAACAAGTCGGGTGGCACACTACAAAAAACGAGGGCCGAGCAACACGAAAAACAGCAGCAGCAGCAGCAACAGCAGCAGCAACAACAACAGCAACAACGTCGTTGACGACAGCGAGCAGCCAGCTCTTGTATCCAGTTGTTGTTTTTGGTTGGTAATTTTAATGTTGGTTTTATTTTCTGTTTTCTCGACTACGAAACTATGCCAAAGTTAACGACGGATTACAATAATCAAAACATAGAGACAGACACAATATGCATACACATACAAAACTCACAGACACACACACACACACACACACACACCCATAAATCTTGACGTGTGACAATTATGCAGTTGGTTGGCAACGCGCTGTTCTCGTACCGACAGTTTGCAACACTGTCTTAACAAACTAATTAATAGCACTTACATATAAAACGCGTTGAATACTGATCTCGATAACATTTATCGTAAAATTTAAACATACGTACTTAGGTATTTTTGTGTTTGAATTTGACACACCCCTAACAGCAAAATTGTTACCTTGCTTTTCACATAAAACAACTGGAGCAAAAATTGAGTTGCCTTGGCGTATAACAACAATTGCGTTATATAGAACACGATAACGTTAACAAAACTATTGAACCAATTAAGCAAAGGTCTGTTTAAAATGTCTTTCACAAAAATGCGGGTGTATATATACATATGTATATACATGTATGTATGGAGGCGACTATAGCGTGCAAAACCACAATGGCGGCCAAAATAGTCAGGCAGACAAGCCTACTTATGTATGTAAATATCAGAAAAATTAATTGTTTGGCATATTCGTTGTGACTTATCATACTTGTGCACTCTTAATGCGTAAATATTCCCATATGCAAATATTAATGACCTTCACTTTCACCTTTTTTTGTTGTTGTTTTATAGGGCTGAGGCCAAAGTAACGTACACTGAGAGAATCGCCGCATTCCTTAGTACAATTAGGCCACGTATAAATATGAACAGAAAAATAATAAGACTATGAAACTTTATACCGAAACATTTTAATTGATTGCTACTTATTCAAATGCCTGATAATCAAACGGGATTTCACAAGCCTCTTGCATACGTTCTAAGCATACTTTAAACATATCAATTGGGACTTTTGTCGCACTGTGCATTACAGCGAGTTGAGGGCGCCTGTATGTGCCAACATATGTATGTGACAAATCAACTGAAATAACAAAAATAAAAAAGCACCACTGTACCTACTTATACTTACATACATATATATGCATGTGTGTATACGTATACGCGTATACGAGAAGCGATACGGCCTTCTCCTTCTCCGCTCGTGATCGAGCAACAACACAATTACAGTAAATAGGTGAAAAAGACAACAGCGCACAGTTGCACAAATATAAAAAAGCAACCACAAAGCACAAGCACACACATCTACACGTATACAAGGTATTACGGTAATCAATGTCAAACGCTGCCGATTTCATTCGCATGCACAACAAGCAACAACAATATCCGACTGTCTGTCTCATTGTATTTTTGTGTACTTGTACAACACAAAAACACACATATGGCTCCACAGATTCGCGTTATATACTAAAAAAAAATCGTAAAGAGAGCCGTTCTCTGAAATAGGGTGAACAGAATATTTGACGGAAATTCCAACAACATCAAGTGTTTTGATGAAATAAAATAACCTCAGTTAAAATTTGTTAATATCAGCGGAACCTGTTGGGTTCCCCATTTTCACAATTTTTTTTTTTAAATAGTAAGAAATAAGTAAAGTTTTTAAATGCCAACTTAAACACTCGAATACATGGACAGAAAATAACACCACTTGTTGTTGGCTGCTTCTTGTTTTGGCATAATTAAATGCAATATGTGCGAGCGTGACAGCATCACAATGCATGACTATCGTCAACGGTCGCCATTTGCTCTCTCGCATGCTCAAAAGCAAGGCATGATCCGACCGACACACACACACACACACACACAGACACAATACTTTCACTTCTTGTATTGAATTTAATTTTGGTTGGGGCGCCAACGCCGATGTTTTTGTTGTATTTTTTATATATTTTTTCAACAGATTTATGCAAGTTTTCTGTGTTTGTATACATATGCATGTACACATATACAGGCTTGTGAATATAAGTGCGTGTCTCGATGTTGGGGCCCTCAGCAACAGCGAGCGAAAATAAATATTATAGAAAATCCGTGCCTCCACACACAAATGACAAAGGTGGGTAAGAAATAAATGCTCTGTCTGTGTTGGGGATATGCATTTGTATGTATAGACATAAAAATGGAAAAGGTCTAAAATTTGATTTCGTTTACTAGCTCTTAAATAATTCAAAAATGATTAAAACCAAGTGGTCTTTGGCTGACCTTATTGATCTCGATCTCGATTTCTTATACCAAATCAATGAATACTGAATCAAGGTATACATATTTAAAGAAACGAAATTTTATTTATTTAAAATTCAACAGATATTACCGAAAATGCATTGTGTGCTTATCTACGCAAGCACAAAGTACACAAGTAACAGCAAGCACATGCGTCAAAGCATTTGGCACCTGACATATGGAGTTGCATTTTACGTTCTCATTTTTGCACTCGCTCTAAGCCTAACCCCCTCTCTCTCTCTCTCTCTCTCTCTCTCTTTCTCACTCTACCAATCAACCACAACAACACACACACATATCTACTTTTAAAATGTGCATGAATGCAATAGCGCAAAGCATTCTAAACAATATCAGGCAACGACTGGAGTGCAGTCACAGCTAGACGCTCCCACCACACGATATTTCTCTCGCTCGATGACGACGCGACGTTTTGTCTCGGGTGTCATTTTCTCGCTCTGAACAATTTATGAAATGTCAAATCAATACATACATATGTAGTTGTTTACTTGTCCAAATGTATAAAACATTGAATAAAATGAATGTAAAACACTTTCTTCATATAAACAACCGACGCTTAACAGAGAAACAGAAGAAATGATCATAATGAATGAAAATTAATAAAACATATACAAGCGAATGCTGGCAAAAGACCTTACATTTTTTTTTTTGCTACTTTTGGCGTGAATTGGGTCTCGCATGATATACAATCCCCTCACACCAAATGCTGATACGCGCAGACAGCTGTTGGAATGCCAACTTGTGAAATAAACGACGCCACACAGAGCCAAGAGAGGGGGCATAAACATCCTGACGTCACATGAATGCTACAGTGTTTGTTGTTGTTATTAGAAGTAATGCTTCATCAATTTCCACAATTTGCATAGACCGACTATCGATAGGCCTGTAGTTTAATCGATAGCACACGCAACAACAACAACAGCAAAGTGGTGTGCGCGCACATCACATGTTAAAATTAGATATGGAAAACCGCTGCCGCCCACGTACGATTTCTAGGATAACTTTTACACATACGCACGCCTCCGCACAATGCAACAGCGTCGATGGCAAATTGTTCAAACACATTTACAGGGGCAGTCGAAAAAACAAATTGAGAATAGCAACGTCAGCTGCCAAGTGGAAAAACATTACGAATTCACATTACTCCTTGGTTATTTGCTGGATGGGCCCGGCGATGTTTTACTGTTGTCAACATTCCGACGAATTTTGTTCTCTTTTCTACCACTTTCTATTGCTTACTTTGTAAGTTGGTGTTTTTATTATTTTAAAGTTGAAACACTAGCAATTGTTATACATGCACAAAAGATGATATTGCTGACGATTTTTACTTGTGTTTGTTGTTGGAAGTAAAATTATTTATAAATTAATTGAAATCGCGTAAATAACGACGGCGACGGCGACGCGACAACGACGTCGGCGGTGGCGACATCGACAGCGGCTGATTTTCGTCGGCGACAAGACTACGTGAGAGCGGTTGGTTGACGTTTTTGGTGGTTGAGCGCGAGAACTATGGAGACGGGGCGACGACGAGGACGAGAGCTGCTGGAGCGCGCGCGTGCATAATACGCACGTATACACAAACACACATGCATATACCTTTCATACATACGCAAGCTTCCTCGCACGGTGCGAGGGAGCTTGTCTTGGCGTACAAGAGAGTCAACTCACACACGCAAGCAGACGTAAATATGTGTATGTACATACATATGTATTAATGTATAAAATATAATACACGGCTACGTTAATGATATTGAACGGCGACTGCAAATGTAAATGGTGGCAACTGTCTGTCACAGTTAAACGGACAGATTAAACGACGATCCGCCCGAGAAACACACACACACCCACAAAAGTGGAGAAATCAATCAACGATGTACAACACGACGGAACGGGGGAAGGCGGAAACCAGAATTTAACAATATTTTCCATATTGTACACATTTTATATTCGTTTATTTTTGCATACATATTTGTATATGTATTATTATTTTTCTCATTTTTTTTTCTTACACAATAACTTTTTATAAATTTCAATAGTTTTCACACACATTATATTTTACACTTAATTGAGCTCTTGTTGCTGGCTTAATAATGCACGTATTCCCCTTAAGTTAATTTTCTATAATTTACAAATGTAATTTTAACAAAAAATTTTCTTAGTCAAAGTCAGAAATCACGTCATGGCTGCCACGTCCAAGCAACAATGAATCGTAAAATTTCCAAAGCAGCCCACTTCACGCGGCGTTATCGTCGGTTGCGGTTGCGAGTGCGTTTGTGAGCTGAGAGAGTGAGCGAGTGCTGCCGACATCGCGCAAGTGAAGTGTGTACACACGGATTTTAGCTAAATATTCCCTTTTCATATCGAGTTATGGGGGTTAGAGCGAGTAGACTATAGTACGCGTTTAGAAAAACCCACCAATAATTTGCAAATGGATGCAAACACTTGTGTTCGTATAGCTGGTATTATTTAGTGCTACATTAATCGCGTTGATATTTTACCCAGTGCACTTTTGTTTAAATTACAATTGACAACGAAAAATATACCTCCTAACATCAAAATGCGAGACCGAAAACTTCACATTTACCTAAGCTGGTAAGCTCCATTAGGAACTTAATTGTCATTGAAAGAAAATTGCATGTTGAGGCGACTATTGCAGAAATGACTCACTTGGATTGTAAGTTCCAAATATACAATATTGTATGTACTTAGATTATAAGCAACACATTTGGTATTGTCTTATGCCTATTTTGTATTTATATGATTATTACAATGATTTCTACCTTTTTTATAAGTAATTTTATTTCTTATTGCGCGCCATCGTTTTCGAACAGAAAGACCAAAACAAGCGTTTAAAACATATGTTTTTAACTCGCGAGCATTCTTGATGTCAGAGCGAGATGGCTATATATCAAAGAGGAGCTGCATTTGCGAAACACAGCATATAAAAATGCAATAAATTTGTGTAGAATGAGAGAGATACAAAAATGTGAAATGTCGCGCGTCATATGTAAAATTTCACAAAATTTGTAATAAATTACAGCTTACCAAACAAAGAAAGAAGTATTCAGAGTAAATTATTCATTGGTCACAACAAAACCAAATGAAAACAATAATAAAAGACAACGCACGCATCGCGGCAGCGGCAACGAGACATCGTCGGCAGCCGCTGACGCCTGGTGCTCACTCGCTTGAACCTGACCACGGTTTGGTATTCATATTCTGCCGAAAAATTTTCAGCAGAGTAAAATGCAGATAAAAACATTGCACTCACCCTGGATATTATCGTCATTCTCTTCCTCTGATGCCATGCTTGCAGTTAAATGCAAATTTTCAAAGTTTTATGCACAATAAAAGCGCTTAATTTTCACAACAAATAATTAAGCACACACAGACACGACGAGAAAAAAATAGACGATACGCTTCTGTATAGAGGTGGGAAATTATCGATAATTTTATTGACAGAGTCGATAGTTTTTCTGTAAGTAAACTTCGAGTAAAAACCCAAACTTCAATTAAAAAAAAAACAAGCGAAATAAAGCTTACCAAAGATATTTAGAAATGATAAAAAATAAGTGAAATATAGATAAATGAATCACAATCGATAGCTACGAGTATCGCTTTTATAGCTATCGTGTGCCAATTGTAGCTGTCATGTCGCTCCAGCAAAAATGGCGGTGCAGGGTGCAAAAATTGGAGCCCCGAAAGTTATCGATAAATGAGCAAGTGAAGTTGATTTACTTGGGACAATGTTAAGCTTTGTTTTAAAATTGCCTTTTATGTTACCATAACTAAATGTGCAGTTCAGTTCGTAATTGAAAATACTAGTTCGATTAAACTAGTTTAAAAGTGAACAACGCAACTCTAGCTGTCAGTGGGAAGAAGAGTGGAACAACCCTGTCTTTTTGCCAAAGAAATTTTCACGTAAACGTTTTTGCAGATAAACATACAACAAATACCAAAAATAAAGCATTGCGGATTAAGCGGAATGTGCAAAGTTTTTGGTAAATAACTTTTACGTCTTTAGCCAGTTCAATTTAATTGCGAATATTATGTCGTCCATTATAACGCGCAAGGATGCCGAAAGCGCCGACGCCGACGAACAAAAATCGAAATCAGCCAACAAGCGCAGCGCTGCTGGCGCCGACGTCGGCGTCGATGCTGCGCCTAAGAAGTCACGTTTTGATGTCAAGGAAAAGAACGGGGGGGCGCCCATCGATGCGATGGCCTCATCGCTGAGCTCCACACAGATCAAACTGATGATGGCGCATGCCCAGCGCGAGATCGAGGAGCGCAAGCGGGCGCTCAGTAATCTACGTGACAAGGATCCCCTGCTAGCGTCCGTGCCGCAAATCGGAATGCCAGTTGCACTGGCTACCCAAGCGTTATCCAAAAAACCAACGCCCGAGGACGCAGACAAGGCCAGAAAGATTGCCGAATTGCAGGCACAAATACGCGCCAAGCTAACCGGTAATCTGGCCAATATCATCCAACAGCAGCCTACGGCGGTGGCAGCAGCAGCTGCTGCCGCTGCCCAGCAACAGCAGGAGCGACCCAAACCGCTCATACTGGACGAGGAGGGGCGCACCGTGGACAAGAGTGGACGTGCCATCAACATACCAACAGTGACGCCCACGCTCAAGGCAAATATACGCGCCAAGAAGCGCGAGGTGTTCCAGCGCCAGACAACGGGCAGCGAAGGCAGCAGTCATAGCGGTGCTACCAGCACTGGACAGGACGATGCCATCAAGTATTTTGATGATCGAATTGCTCAGAAGCCGACGCTGCGAAATAAACGCACGTTGCGATTCCACGAGCCCGGCAAGTTCCAACAGCTGGCGGAGCGAATGCGTATGAAGAGCCAATTGGAGCGCTTGCAGAACGAGATATCTCAAATAGCACGCAAGACGGGCATATCTTCGGCCACAAAGCTGGCATTGATTGCACCCAAGCAGGATATGCCCGATGATGTGCCCGCCATGGAGTGGTGGGACTCGGTCATACTCAGCCAGGATATGCAAACACTGGATGAAGCAAGCGGCAAGATCAGCATCCGCAAAACGGCCATCAGTAATCTCATCGAGCATCCCACGCAAATGAAGCCGCCAAGTGAGTAACCCTTAGTATTGATGTTGTCAAAAGTATCAAAATCATTTGGCTAACATAAAATGATGACACTAATGCTATTCCATTTCGCAGATGAGCCTCTGAAGCCCGTCTACTTGCCCGTGTTCCTCACCAAAAAGGAACGCAAAAAGCTGCGTCGACAGAATCGCCGTGAGGCCTGGAAAGAGGAGCAAGAGAAGATACGCTTGGGCCTGGTCGCGCCGCCGGAGCCAAAGCTGCGCATATCTAATCTGATGCGTGTGCTGGGCACAGATGCTGTGCAGGATCCCACCAAAATCGAGGCGCACGTGCGCGAACAAATGGCTAAGCGTCAGAAGGCTCACGAGGATGCCAATAACGCCCGAAAGCTGACGAGCGAACAGAAAAGCGAAAAGAAACAGCGCAAACTTAAGGAAGACACCAGTTGCGGTGTCCACGTGAGCGTCTACCGTATACGTGATCTGCAGGATAACCAGAGCAAAAAGTTTAAAGTCGAAACGAATGCCAAGCAGCTGCAAATGACCGGCAGCGTGGTGCTCTTCCGGGATTGCTGTGTTGTTGTCGTTGAGGGTGGGCCCAAGCAGCAGAAGAAATACCGTCGCCTCATGCTGCATCGCATTAAATGGGAGGAAGATGTGGTGAAGGGTAATGATGGCCAAGATGTGGCCAATTCTTGTGTGCTCGTCTGGGAGGGCACCAGTCAACGCCGGCACTTTGGCGAAATCAAATTCAAAATATTTCCTATGGAGAAAATGGCACGCGAATTCTTCCAAAAGCATCAGGTGGAGCACTACTGGGATCTGGCCTACTCAGGCGCTGTGCTGGAAGCCTCTACGGATCAGCAGTAAACAATCTAGCGACCTAGCTGTTTAGACCACAAAATTTGTTACAAGTTTAGATATATAAGCTTAAAATTATAAACATTCAGATTTTATGTACAAAAATGTGGATTTATTTTTTTGTATACGGGTCCTCCCTAATGTTGGACTGTATAAACTCATGGAGACCCTGTTGCTTGAGCCTTTCAATTATTGTTGCCAAACGTTCATCCTCCAACCGTTCCTCTGCCCGCTCACGCATATCCAATATGTGCTGCTCCTTGACACGCTCAGTTAGCACGCGGCGTATCAGCTGGCGCAGTGACTTGTTAATCTCCAGGGTATAGTCGAGCAGCCTGACGTAGGTCTCGGGCTTGAGATAGCCACACTGTTGGCACTGAGCCAGCTGCTCAAAGGTGTCCATGCTGGCGTTAATTAACAGCCCATGCTCCTGTATCGAAGCATCTTTGTTGCTGTTGGTGGTGCTGCTGCTGCCCACCAGAGCATTGCCGCCGCGATGCTGCCAAAGTAGTTCCTCCACCTTGGCACTGGGATTGACAAAAACATAGCCGCGGTAGATGCACGCCGTGGAGGCAGTTATTAAATCATATGTGGATATGCCGCATTCGATCAGTGCCACGCCGCAGCAATTAATCGCAGTGCTCAGCAAACAGCCATCGTCATCTAAGATGAGCACCCGTATGTCCAGTTGAAAGTTGAGGAACTCATTGCGACAGACGAGCGGCTCCAGTGCTTTGGTCAACATGCTGCCCAAATGCTTTTCACGCTCCGGCACCGATTCCAGCTCGCCGCTGGCAAAGGCCGCAAAGTTCACGAAGCAATTGATGACACCCATATTCACACGTCGAGCACTTGAACGGACGAGCTCCCGCGGCGGTGCCACGATGGCCATCACTTTCGTATTGCCATATTCCATATACGCAGATCCACGTACCGTCGTCAGAACGCCGGCACGTATAACTGCAAATGCGATTTAGTTGTTACTTTACGAATCCAGCAAATGGTTTTATTCTCGATACCCACAGGTGGAGCGAGGTGCAGCCACAACCTCAGTCGGCTTCTCTATGCTTTCGAAAAAATCCTCGCAATCCTTAGGCGTCGTATATAGTTGCTCGGCAATGGTAGCGCCATCGAGCAGCGTGTTTTTGGTTTGTGTAATGCGCAACATTGTTTTACAAAATGCCGCAAAATAAAAGCAAATGAAAACATGTGTTTTGAATTCGCAGCCAGTGCTGAGAAAAACGGTTTTACTGAAAAATGCGCTAAGAGGGAACATCGATATGTATCGATATAGCTATTGGGAGTATCAATATAACGATGTTTCGATGTTTCTTTCATCACTAATTACAAATAGTTGGCAACTCATGTTTTTGACAGCTCAAAAAGCGCTTTGTAATTCTGCTTAGTAGTAAAGAAAAGAAAAAGAGAATAGGCGGAGAAAAGTGAACGCCGCATTATTGAAAAAATACATTTTTTATATTTATAAAATTAAACAAGGGGCTCCAGACGCGCAACGCACAGCATGACTGGTGAAACCAAGCTGGAGAAAAAGCCACTTGGCGATGCCAAGGAAACTAAAGGCAAGGGACAAGATGCTGGCAAGGCCAAAAAGGATGAAAAGGAGCAGCAGCCAGAGCTATCGGACGAGGATCAACAGCTGCAGGAAGAGCTCGAGATGTTGGTGCTGCGCTTGCAGGAAAAGGACATAAAATTGTATCAGCCAGCATTGGAAATGATGGCCAAGCTGATACGCGCATCGACCACGTCGATGACATCGGTGCCAAAGCCACTGAAATTCATGCGTCCCCATTACGAGTCCATGAAAACGGTGTACAAGCACATGCCCGACGAGCGCTCGCGTCAGCTGTGCGCCGATATCATCTCGGTGCTTTCCATGACCATGGGCAGCGGCAAGGATTGTCTGGCCTATCGTTTCCTCTGCGATCGCACCCAGACCATCGGTGACTGGGGTCACGAGTATGTGCGCCATTTGTCGGGCGAGATATCGGCCCACTATCACGACACTACGGGTGAGTTTCGCACCCAGCTCATCGAGCTGGTCAAGCAGATAATACCGTACAATATGGAGCACAATGCGGAGGCAGATGCCTGCGATTTGCTCATTGAGATCGATCATTTGCATTTGCTGGCCGAATATGTGGACGAGTCGGCCTATCCGCGCGTCTGCCTCTATCTGCAGTCCTGCTATCCATATGTGCCCGAGCCGGACAATACCATCATACTGGAGACGGCCCTGCAGCTGGCCCGCAAGTTCCATCAGCATACTCAGGCCATGCGACTGGCGCTGATGCTCAATGATATGGGCAAGATTGGCGAAATATTCAAGGAGCCCAAGGAGCCGGCCATGCAGAAGCAGCTCGCCTTTATGCTGGCCCGCCAGCAGGTGTGCCTGGACCTGGATGAGTCGCTATCGGACTACGATGATCTGATGGAGATCATGTCCAATGCAAACTTGAATAAGCATTTCTTGAATCTGGCCCGTGAACTGGACATCATGGAGCCAAAGACGCCGGAAGATATTTACAAGTCGCATTTGGACAATTCACGCTCGCGCTTTGCATCCATCCAGGTGGACTCGGCCAAACAGAATTTGGCCGCCAGCTTTGTCAATGGCTTTGTAAATGCGGGCTTCGGCGTGGATAAGCTGCTCTCGGAGGACGGCAACAAGTGGCTATATAAGAACAAGGAGCATGGCATGCTTTCGGCTACCGCCTCCCTGGGCCTGATTCTGCTCTGGGATGTCGACGGCGGTTTGACCATGATTGACAAATATCTGTACTCCACCGACGACAATATCAAGTCGGGTGCCCTGCTGGCCTGCGGCATTGTCAACTGCGGCATACGCAACGAGGTGGATCCGGCTCACGCTTTGCTCTCCGATTATATTGATAATCAAAATACGTGCATGCGCATTGGTGCCATTTTGGGCTTGGGCATTGCCTATGCTGGCTCTAATCGCGCCATTGTCATCGATACGCTGAAGACGATCTTTGCCAGCAATGGCAAGACGGCTGCCAGTGTCGAGATTCTGGGCATAACCGCTCTGTCGCTGGGTCTGATAAGCGTTGGTTCATGCAATGCTGAGATTACAGAGATCTTGCTGCAGACCATCATGGGCCTGACCAAGTCGGATCTGAAGGATACCTATACGCGTTTCCTCTGGCTGGGCCTGGGCTTGCTCTATTTGGGACGCCAGAAGTCCACAGAGGCTGTCATGATGACCCTGGAAGTGCTGGAGGAGCCGTATCGCAGCATGGCCACAACCATGGTGGACATATGCGCTTATGCTGGCACTGGCAATGTGCTCAAAATTCAACAGCTTCTCCACATTTGCTCCGATCACTACGAGACCCCCAACGCCGATGAAGAGAAAGAGAAGGGCAAGAAGGACAAGAGCAAGGAGAAGGTAAATAGCTCAAATTGGCAAGATTTAATCGTCTCCAAATTAATATAACTCCACGTTGTTTCAGGAAAAGGAAAAGGATAAGGAGAAGGAGAAGGAGAAGGAAAAGGAGCGCGAAAAAGATCTGTCGGCTACACAATCGATCGCTGTGCTGGGCATTGCACTAATTGCCATGGGCGAGGACATTGGCGCCGAGATGGCGTATCGTTCGTTTGGCAATCTGCTGCGCTACTGCGAACCGGCTATTAGGCGTGCCGTGCCGCTGGCTCTGGGCCTGATATCGGCCTCAAATCCCAAGCTGAACATACTGGATACGTTGAGCAAGTTCTCGCACGACAGCGATGCAGAAGTGGCGCACAATGCCATCTTTGCCATGGGCCTGGTCGGTGCTGGCACCAATAATGCGCGTCTCGCCTCGATGCTGCGTCAGTTGGCCCAGTATCACTCGAAGGATCCGAGCAATCTGTTTATGGTGCGCATTGCCCAGAGTCTGACGCATTTGGGCAAGGGCACACTATCCCTAAGTCCCTATCACAGTGATCGCCAGCTTATGAATCCCATGGCTGTTGCTGGATTGATGGCCACATTGGTGTCGCTACTTGATGTCAAGAATCTTATCCTGAATCGTTCCCACTATCTATTGTACACCCTGGTGCCGGCCATGCAGGCACGGATGCTTATCACATTTGATGAGGATCTCAGTCAGCTACAGGTGCCGGTCCGTGTGGGCATTGCCATCGATGTGGTCGGCCAGGCGGGCAAACCGAAGACCATAACAGGCTTTCAGACGCACACCACGCCCGTGTTGCTGGCAATAGGCGAGCGCGCCGAGCTGGCCACCGATGAGTACATCTCGCTAACGCCCGTCATGGAAGGATTTGTTATATTAAAGAAGAATCCTAATTTTGTCAAGTAGTCGCTTCTATTAATTAAGGCTATGTAAAGTGTCGCCCAATTAACAAAAACCCAAAATTAAACCTACCCGAAAAATAAATGGTCGTCTCTTCATTGGCAATTAACGCATATGTCATAAATAAATAATCTAAATATATTATTTACTTACATATTAAAATCATATTTCTCAATTGTCTCGGAACTTTTTCGAAACCAACCGATTTCCGTTCGACGATTTTAACAAGACAGCAGCCAGCCGTATTAAAGTTAGATTTATACCAATAATATTGGCTGCAGTTTTTTATTTATTCATATGTAGGAAAATATACGTATCACTGAAAGAAGAAGAAGCATAAAGCGGGTTAGTGCAGGGAAGAGAGAGACGAATCAAACGAAGATTGATCAAGAGTGTAGGCATAAAGTTTATTAAATTGTGTTGGCAGCTTTGTGGCCAGTTCAGCTTTTTTCTAGCTAAATGAGGCTATTTTTAGAAGTAATCAACCGTAAACAGACAGATTCAGCTAATTATTTTTTATGTGTTGGCAGCACTGTGGCCAGTTCAGCATTTTTCTAGCTAAATAAGGCTATTATTAGAGGTATTCAACCGTAAACAGTGGACATTTTAGACAGATTCAGCTATTTAGCTTATTTTAAGCACTTTTTATATCCCTGCCGAGGATATTATAATTTTGTCTCGAATCGAATGCTTAGAAGGAGCCATCTCCGACCTAATTAAGTATATATATTCTTGATCAGAATCAACAGCCGAGTCGATATAGCCACGTTATTTGTTTTTCAAGATATCTTGACCAAACTTGACATTTCTTAATTTCACTATTCTCCCCATATATAAGCAAAATCCTATTAACATCGGACCACTAATTCATATAGCTGTAATAGGAACGATCGGTCGAAAATTAAGTACTTGTATGAACAACTTTTTTGTTTATCAAGATATCTTAACCAAACTTGGCATTTATAAGTTTTACTAAGCCCCCTACATGTATGAAAAATCTCATTAACATCGGACCACTATATAATATAGCTGCTATGGGAAAGATCCGTGGAATATTAGAAATATTATAAGGCAACATATTCTGTTTTCAAAGATATTTTAACAAACTCAGCATTGTCGAGCTGCATTGTTCTCACATATCTGCAAAAATCAAATGTGTGCAAGGGTATTAAATCTCCGGCTTGCCGAAGATATCCTTACTTTCTCATATTTTAAATTTTAGCGTAGTCGAAAGTAAACTTGGGGTACATTTGGTTAAAGGGAATTTATACAAAAAAGTGAAGTTAACATTTGTTCAGCAACGTTTCAAGATTTCAAGATTTCCATCCTAGCAGCTGTTGTTATTCTATTATCTAAGTAGTTAACGATTTCGGTTCCAGTTACGCCTCTTAATAATAATATGCATGATCTTCTGAAATCCCGCGTCTAATGTGGTTTATAATTCATGAAATCGATTTGATTTACTTGTGTGGGGTTTAGTAAAGCATAAAACTTGACATTTTCAGCAATTTATTAATTGATTTTTAAATGTAAGTGATAAAAAAAGATGCTGTTTTCCTTCATTTAAGCCGCATGGGTCGGACGAATAAGCATTTTAACTGATTTGAGAGTTCTGTCCCGACTCCAGTACATTCCTTGATAATTACTGGTTTCATAGTTAAAATACTTTCCATTTAAATTGCTTGATTCGGTGTAAAGAATATGTTGTTAAATATTTAAGTAATGTGAATAATCTGATTACTCACCTGCTGCCAGACAGATCCTTGGTATACCACCAGGCACCATGGTAATGGACAGCATTATTTTGATCCGCACTCGAGTCGTTGTCCTGATCGAATGTTGTGAACTTCATCTGGACACTTTTGGAGAGCTTGTCCTGGGCACTGCCGGTTACGCTGCCCAACTGTTTCAATTCGAACTTTGCGATTTCATTGCCAATCTCGAAACGACTATAGCGAGCGAAGCTGGTTTTTCCATTAAACTCCTCCATGTGGATATACAGCTCATGCGGCTGATAGCTAGTGATGCGATAGAGTTTCTCCAAGCCGATAAAGAATTCGGAGTTGTTTTGGCCAAAGCCCTCGATATACTCATGCCAGCTTCTGTAAAAGTCCACGCTGCCATCGAATCTGCGCTGGATGACCGTCCAGCCAGGACCTGCTGTGCTGCCATCGCAGAGCACGGTGATCGGCGAATTGCCAGGCAGTTGGATTGTTTGCAAGCCTGATCTATAGCCCATGGGTAAGCAGCTGGTTGCTGCCGCTTGAGGCTTCTCGACTGTCTCTGTATTGGGTGCACTTGAGTCTGGATTTTTCGGGACCAGTTGGCCGAGACATTTTTTCAGCTGTTGCTGAGCAGCGTTCACCCGCGAGGTTTGATTATTGTTCAGCATTTGCTTGTACGACTCGATGTTGGCCTTCAGTTCGCTGATTTTGTCCTTCAATTGCACGGCAGACACACTTGTGCACGTTGTGCCGCACTGCTTGGTCAGAAAGTTGTTTGTCTCTTGCATGGATTTAATCAGCTCGTCCTTGTAACGATTCTCGGCCAACTTGATTTGCAGCTCGTTGAGTTTTTCTTGCAGCTTCGCATTTATCTTCTGAGCGTTTTGCACCTGGACGCTTATCTGGTTGGCCTACAAGGACGAATCAATTACTTATATGAATCACTTACAGCTCCAATTACAATCCTCAATTACCGGCCATTGGGCATTTGCAGCTCCAAGTAGAAATCCAACTAAGGCAAGTAGCAGAGCGTATTGCATTTTCGACTTTTTAGTTAAACTATTCTTTGACAGAGCAACAATTGAACTGAACGTGAGATTCTCAACTTTAAAGTACACGTTCGTCTTAAATCCATTTATAAGATCAAACTGTGACCGTCACCGTCGTCGTAATATCATTTAAAAAGATTATGTAATTCCGACAGCATTTACCGTGCAGATTCTATAATTCATCTATACAATATATAAGGGCAGGAAAGGGGTGGTCAAAGTTTGAGTGAAAAGCATCAAAAACAGACCAGCCATGACGTCCTGAGCCTGAGTTAATCAGGTAACCTGAGCGTCGAACTAACGAGCGAAAAGTTGGCGGTTCAGATTTAGCAGAAATAGTCAGCTTGTATAGTTCAGGCGAGAGTTTTATTCGAGAATAAAAACTTATATATAGAAGCGTAAAAGGCGACTGTTCTGATGGGTTTATAAGCAACAAAAGAAATCAAATTTCGAAAAAAATGATATAGGGATCTCATGCGACCGACTACGAAGCAAAAACAAACAGGTTGTATTTAAAGTTATCTAGTTATAAACAAAAGCCAGTATTATAGATTGCACAAGTAATCAAAATTGTTTACTAATCCTTGACGTGGCCTGCCGTGCGCACTCCCTGCATACAGAGTTAATTCATATGTTACAGTACATTACTTTGCAAGTGTATATATATATATATATATATATATATAAATATATATTTATAAATGTGAATGTATAGTTATGTTTATTAATGCATTTCGCACTGAAATGTTTGACAGTTGTCACTTGTGATTTCGCTCGCTCGCAATTTGAATCATAAAAACAATCACATGATAAACTTAACGACAATTTATGCAAAGTCGCAAACAACGTACAGAAGTTTAAATTGGTTAACATAGCTGCCTGAGTCGGTTTAAGCACTGGACATTGCGGGTGCTGCTGGTGGCTGTGTTTGTTCCGTGCTGGGCGCTGCCGGCGGCTGTGGTTGCTGCTGTGCCGTGAACACATGTGCCATCTGCGGCGGCAGCGGTGTCGGCTGCGTGGGAAACAGACCTCCCATGGATGGCTGCACCTGTGGATACGTGGGCACCGTCTGGGCGGCGGAGCCGGCTGGATACGAGAGTGCCGACGGTGCGGACATGTACATCTGTTGCTGTTGCTGCGGAAGTGCGGCCATGGAGAACATGGGCACTGCCGGGGGTGGCAGCGTTGCTGCTGTCGCCTGTGGAAATGGTAATTGAGCGGCAGGTATGCCGCCAACGCTCACGTTCGCATTCTGTTCTGGGGCATTGGGATCGAATACGCCGGGTATAAAGATGTTCGCTGGCGGTGCCACCGGTTGAGGCGGTCCCACGGGCTGAGGCGGTGCCACGGTTTGGTGCGTTGCTGGTGTTTCCGGTGCGCCAGTTGCGACTGCTGGCGGTGCAAAGCTGTCTGATGGCGCGGCCACCTGCGGCTCATTGAGCGTAGCTTGGGTTTCGAGTGCAGCGGTTAACGCATCCGTGGCATCATCCGGATTGAAATAGGTCTTGAATATGCTCTGTGCTGGCGGATCTATAGTTGGTGGCCGGATCTCGGCGTTTGTCGAGCCAAATGTGTTGGCCAGTGGCGGTATATAAGGCAATGTTGGTGCAACAACGGCACTGGCCGCTGCGGCTGCAACGACAGGCGTCGTAACGGGATTAGCCGGACCGACAGGTGCCGCCGCAGCTGCCCCAGTTGATGGAGACGGTGAAGGTGCAGGCTGCACGGGTATGCGATGCAGATAGCCATAGCCAATGCCACAGCCCAGAGCTCCCTCGCCGCCCCAGGCAGTATTGGGCTTAATAGTTACTTCCCTGCAAGCATCGTCGTCCAGATTGTACACGTACATCTTGAGGGGCTGTTGCTCGTGCGTCTCGATCAGCGTGAAAAGATCGTCGTTCTCATGGCGTATGGCATCAGCGCCAATCACATAGTCGCTGTAGGCGCGCAGGCCGGCCAGCTCGGCCGGTGAGTTTGGATGCACCTCCAGTATGTGCCAGACGCTCTCGTTGGCACCCTCAAACGAGCAGAAGCGTATGCTCACGCCCAACAGTCCCTGGCCACCCCAGTTGTTGCTGGGTGTCAATGTGAGTTCACGCACAGTTTGTGTTTTGCTCGAATAAACTGTGATGCGGACAGGTTTATCAACGTTCTGACGCAGCAGCTCCTTTAGCATATCATTGTCCTGGTCCAGACGTGTGCCTGCTATGGCCACGATAAAATCGAAGAATGCCTCCAGGCCAGCCTTTTGGCCGGGCGAGTTGTCTTGCACCTTGAGTACGTGGTAGCCTATTGTTTTTAAAATAAAAATTGTGTTTGTTTTACTTGAACGTCATTGTGTGCGTGTGTGCATATGATTGGTTCTCGGTTCTTCTGCATTCATTGACACCGTTTACGTGGTTGTGTACGTTACCTTCAGTGCCACCGCCGGGTACATGAACGCTGTGACTTGATCCCATTGTTTTCTCCCTTTAAGCAACAAATATATTAGTGACTTAATTTGCTGACTATACAGCTAAAATTGTTTAATTTTGATGCGGCACTAAAGAGAGTTCTGTTCTTCGTGGCAATTTTTGTGGTACGGATTTCAGTGTTTTAAATGCTCTCGGTCAATGCATCTCGCTCACACAAGTACCAGGGATGCATGCATTATAATGAACAGTTATCGATATTCCTTTTATGCTTATAACATTTTATTATTATGTTAAGTTTACAGCAAGCATATGACAGATGCGAGATGGGTTTACATTTATACACTTTCCTGTCTGCCCAATGGAACATCCGCATCTATGAAAATATTTGGTGTTTTAGGTGTTTATATTTGATTTCAAGTCAATTCGGATGTTTATTAAAAATGACAAACAGTAATAAATAATCATTAGGCAGATTGGATCACTTCATGGCTGCTGCGACCTGCCATTGCTGCTGGTACTTAGATACAGCTTCGCGATGTTTCAGCATATCCTTTTCCCTGCAATAAGAATATTTGTTGGTAATATTTATAACTGGTGCTGACCGGTTCACGTACATATTTTCCAGTGTATCAGTGGAACTTTTTAGTTCCTTCGAGATGTACTCAATGCGTTTGCCAACGTTTTGCCGCGAGTCCTCCAGCTCTTGTTTCACCAGCACTGGACCAAACAACTTGTACACTTTATTGTCAGGCCCGAGCAAATTTAGTTCATCCAGCACACACTTATTCTCATTCAACTGGCTCTCTAAGAGTGCCCGCTGTTTAACTATTTTAACACAAGCTGTAACAAAATACGTTCATATTTATGTATATTGCCTGCCAGAGAATACATTGATTTACTTACATTTTTGTAGGTTTTGATATGACTCAACCTCTGTTTGCATTTTTTTATACAACGCTGCACTGTTTTTATCCATTTTGTTGGTTTTCTATGCGGGATTTATTAGAATTCTTAAAGTTTAAAAACAGTTGCCGGTATGCGTCTGTGAAATAATTTGTTTAACTAAATTAGCAACAAGGCTTCTGCTGTCTCACAGTTGTCTGTGGGCTGCAAGCTGCAAGTTATTGCCGCGTGTTGTTAGTTGAAATTGCCTGCAAATTTCTTAAATAACTGTTCAACACAACAACGCTAGTAAATATAATTTTTTTTTTTATAAAATTTACCTCTTTCTTGAAAGAATTTAATAAAAAAAATTAGGAAAGACTACTCAGAGCTGCAAACGAACAGTGCACGCTTTTCTGTTAAAATTTGGCGTTGCCACACATAGAATGCAACACTACAAAACAGCTGATAATAAATTCAATAGAAAATGTGAGTTCAGACACTGTTAATAACTTTCTTAAGTTTATAAATCTAAATATTTGTGACAAATATCAAAGAAAACTAGATAAGCTGAAACAACAACTAATAAAATGGTTTTTAACATAAATTTGTAGACGTTACAATGTTGTAAAACGCTTCAGGGGTGTGTTTCAGTCGAAGGGAAAAACGCACGGTACGATTTACTAGCTTTGCTGAATGAAGATATATTTTCCTTTAGTTATATACTATTATTTCACAAACAAAACAAAGAATAACCCAATAAGGTAAATTTAAATATATCAGCATATTGGTGTGATAATAGTCCTTGTCAATACTAGGTTTGTGAGCACGCATCATTCAGTCGTATCGTTGCGCGGCTCCTATAATAACACCAGAAACGCTGCAACAAAGCATACGGTTTCGCGCCGAAAAAGAAAACGGCGAAAAACACGCAGGAAAATACAAAAAACGAAACAAATAAAATTGTACGCACTCAACAAACATAAACATGTTTTAGCAAATGCGTCGATAGTTTGTTTGCTGAAATTGCAGCAACGCTACAGGCAGCAGGGCGAAGTGTGTGTGAGTGCGTGTGTAAGCAAGCGGCGCGTTTGTAAAACGGCTGAGGTAGAGGCCCTCCCTCTCCTCCACCCTCTCAAAACACAATGGCACCCACAAAGAAACGTGAAAGAGACAATGGCGATAGTGCGGGCGTTGTGGCTAACAACATAAATGGCCTAAACAATGGAAGTGGACACGGTGCAGATGCTGCTGCAAATGAAGCGTTGGCAGCGCCAGCGGCAGCAGCTACTGCATTATCAACAACACTTAACCATGAAACCCATGCTAAACTTAACGGACATCAGCAAGAGCAGGAACTCTTCTTACAGGCATTCGAAAGTATGTTTGTATGTCGTCCGTCCAGAATAATCACAGTGTAACTAATCAATAAACTTTAACAGAACCCACACAGATCTATCGTTACCTACGCAATCGCCATGAGACAAACGTAAGCTAATTTATTGTTTTTACATACATGTCCAGACTTATGTATCCATTGTGTCATGCTTATATTGTAGCCCATATTTCTAAATCGCACGCTCAGCTATATGAAGGAGCGCATGTCACGGAACAACAAGAAACGCGCCAATTTCAAGATAGACTCCATACTGGACACAATTACCCAAAAGTCTGAGGCTGTAACCCAAAACTACCTGCATGTTATCTATGACTCCCTGCATGAAAAGCTTAAACCACAAGACAACGATGAGCTGCTAAGGCAGGGGCAGGAGCAGCTGCTCTGTCAGGCGGGAGAAAGGGTTTGTGTGGAGACAACACTTTATAAGATAACGCGCAGCAAGCGCAAGGACAGTACACTAGACTTTCAAGAGCTACTGAGCAAGAGCTGCCAAATTGTTTACAATCCCAATGAAGGCATCGATGAGCATGCCACCATCAGCATACCCTTGCAGACAATGCGACCCATGGGTGATCAGCATACGCTCTATAAGCTGCTCTTTCGCATTAAGATGCAGCCACAAACATGCAACGATGAAAATGCTGGTGAGAAATGTTCTCAGTTATTTGAGACTTAACAAAATCCACATTGTAACTGAGAATGAGACATTTACTTATTTATATTTTTCTCAACAGCTACACCGCCGAGCAAACGACCACGTAGCAATGAGAAGATGTACGGCTCGGAGTTGATACTGTACGAGAAGTCGAGTGGATTCATCACTGAGGGCGAATACGAGGCGATGTTGCAGCCGTTGAATTCATCTAGCATTAAGTCGTTCTCACCAAAGAAATGCACCTGGGAGACCATGCCCGACAGCTACATTCCACTTTCGCTGACCTACGATGTGTACCAGCAGAGTCCCATGCTTAAATTCCATTTGACTTTGTCCAATGAGCAGTTGCCCGACATTATAGCCGCACCGGAGATACAACGTTATGTACATCATTTGGATGCTGAGGCGGATCTTAGTCACATTAATATCAACAATAACAACAACAATAATAATAACAATAACAATTGTAGCGGCCTAAAGAACGGCAGCATTTGCAAGGCAGTGCCGGAGCACATACAAATCGTGTACAATTTCATGTACAGCAACAACACACGCCAACAGACGGAGTACACTCAGGAGCTGAACTGTCCATGGTGTGGATTAGACTGCCTGCGTCTATATGCGTTGCTTAAGCATCTCAAGCTGTGCCACGCACGCTTCAACTTTACGTACCAGCCAGCAGGCACCGGCGCTCGCATCGATGTGACCATCAATGATACATACGATGGCTCCTATGCTGGTTCACCCTATGATCTGGCCGGTCCATCCGGTTCGTCGTTTGCACGAACCTGTGGTCCGGTAAGGCGTACTTCGGTCACTAGCTTAATGGTATGTAGGCCCAGGCGTCAGAAGACCTGCCTAGATGAATTCCTCGAGTTGGATGAGGATGACATCAGTAATCAGCGTTCGTACATAACTGGACATAATAGGTGAGCAGTAAAGCTAAGTAAAATGATTCTATTCCAGAGCATTCCTAGTCTAGTTACGGTTCTGATATAACAATTGATGATCATTCCCACAGGTTGTACCATCATACGGAGACTTGTCTGCCGGTGCATCCTAAGGAGCTCGACATTGACTCTGAGGGCGAAAGCGATCCACTTTGGCTGCGCCAAAAGACCATACAAATGATCGATGAGTTCTCCGATGTCAACGAGGGCGAGAAGGAGCTAATGAAGCTTTGGAATCTGCATGTGATGCGACATGGCTTTGTGGGTGACTGCCAGCTGCCATTGGCCTGCGAAATGTTCCTGGATGCCAAGGGCCACGAGATTGTGCGCAAGAATCTCTATCGCAATTTTATTCTCCACATGTGTTCGCTTTTCGACTACGGCCTGATTGCGGCAGAGACGGTGTACAAGACGGTGCAGAAGCTTCAGGGTTTGCTTAGTAAATATGCTGCCGGCCAGGAGCTAATGCAGCGACAGCGTGAGGCTCAGCTTAAATACTGGTTGGATGTGGGCATGCACAAGAAGCAGGATGATCTTAAGCACAAGTCGCCACAAAAACCAACGGCTAACTCCGGCATGGATACACCAACTACCTCATCAGGCAGCACTGCCAGCGCCATGCAGCCACCCAAGCGCATGCCAGCTAATCTTAAACGAGCTAATGCCGCCGCCGCCGCGGCTGCAGCAGCGCTTGACGGCCAGGATAGCGCTGCTGCTAATGGCAACAGTAGCAAGAATGTGGCCAAGAAGAGTGCCGACCAACCAGTTACCGCTAATTTGGCCAATACGCGCGAGCGCCGTTCCGACCCGTGCCTAAAGCGGAGCGCTAACAGCGGACGCCTCAGTGCGCCCGATAGCAGAACTGCCAATTCTTTAGCCAAGCGCAAAGTCGGCGCTAAAGGTAAGTGAAGGCCAGACATGGCCTGCTCGAATTTCAACCACATAACATTCATGAATCATCACAGTCGCATCATTCTGCTTTATCATATTCATATACAAGATTTTAAAAAGTATTTCAATAATTGAGTAAACAATTTCTTTCCCTTTTTTCCCGAGTTCTTAAACGATTTTAACAATGAACGCAGTTTCACAGATTGTCCCGCTCAATAATACGTTTTCAAGATTAACTAAAATTATTTCTCGCACCAACAATTATAAATAACTTTAACTTAACACTGAGGTCTAATTTAAATACAAAGTTTACAAAACCTTTTCACAAATTTTCCATCCGTGGGAAAGTTAATGTGCCCAAGTGTCTCTATTAGTCGCCTTGTACGACAAGCGGTGACATGCTGTGGAGGTATTCTGGTGCCCGCCAACCACACGGGTGATATCTGGACACATGTACATAACCCTTAGAATATAACTGATCATTCATGCAAATACACACATACTCGTACACTATCATTAATTACACTAAAGGATCACTGCGCCATCGCCATCGTCATGTCCATGAGAGGTTCTCATTGATAACGCCAAAAAAAAAAAAATATAGTTAAAGAGAAACACCTAAAAATGTATTCAAAATTTTTATCAAAATTTTTATTATGATGGCAAATTGCCCAATGTTTTTTTCTCTCTTTCTCTTTGTTTTCTATTTTTTGTTTGTTTTGGATTTACATTTATTGTACTGTGTGCTTTGGCTAACAGCAGAAATGGCTGATGTGGAGCAGTTGGAAGAAATGGCCGCTATGGACGTGCCTCAGGTTTTAGCTGCTGCTGACAATGACAATGACAATGGCAATGGCAATGGCAATGAGAATGGGAATGGTGTTGATGATGTTGAAGATGCAGCAGTTAATCAGGTTGAAGTTAATGATGATGATGATGATGATGTAACTGGGAATTCTACTGCCCCCGTTTATGATAATTAAGTTAGCAAATGTAATTCGTAATTCGCATTTAACACTTGCATTCATTTTACCAACTATTTAACACACATACACTCTTTCTCTCTCACACACAAACACGCTCACACACATACACAGATACTGCTGTGATCAACAAACGGCAGCGCTATAGCGACAGCAGCGCCAACGTCGGCATGGGAGCCAGCGGTAACGGTTCATCCACACGCAACAAAAGCAATAATCATTCACTGCCAGCAAACAGCAACAGCAACAACAAGCGACGTCGCTCTGCCATGGAGCGGAGTAGATCGAATAGCACTGCCGGCGGCAGCGCTGCGCAGTCGCATGGGCTGCGCACACGGCTCTCAGTGCCAGTGACCAAGTATGAGAGGCGCTGACGCAAGCGGCGCTGCTGCTGTTGCTGCTGCTACTGAAAATCAACAGGATGAAAAGGGACGATGGCGTTTCGTTAGATTTGATAAGTTAATAATGAAAGCAGATTTTCGATATCCCGTTCTGTCTATTAAAAAATTATTCTTTTTTATTATAATTACTATTATTATTATTAGTGTGTTGTGTTAATTTTATCCAATTTAGCGTATTGGACATTTGTAAAGTCTTCAATTCACTTAACCTCATTTCAAAACAGACAAAAAACAAAAAAAATCACAAATCATTTTTAATTTGAGGTAACAAATAATTAATGCACCGATATACATAAATAATTTAATGCAAGTTACTTAACAATTGCTATGGACAACAAATAACGCATATTTCCATTTAAAGAATTTTAATAATTACTTACGATTCTATTTTAAAACCATGTACATTGCAAAATGAATTTGTGTATGCAAATCAATTGAATTCTATACGAACTCAATATTTATAAAAGTATATTGTAATTAGCACAGATGACATGTATTAAGAGTGTTTACAAAATAATTAAATCCAAAACAACCAGTTTAGGAAATTAATAAACAAAAATCTACTTTAGGATCGCCGAATAAAATGTTGCATATATTTTTACAGTGCATTTCAACTTGTTTCTATTCAATAAAATTTATGTTAGCTAGGAACCGGTAAATTGGCAAAGCAAATGTTCACCTCGCTTGACCCTTATTTTGGCCATAAGGCAAGGAATGTGTAAGTGACCGATGGAACCAAATAAATATAGTATACGGTGAAATTCATGAGTGATATACTAAATTATTCAATCTTCAAGTGAAAGTGTCTGAGAATCTATGCAAGTACGAACTAATAAGATCTCTAAGATGGACAATAAAGATGGATTAAAATATGAGAGGTGTGAGATTGGAAATAACAGTGGTATTATCAGCAGTTTGGAAGTGAAGAATCAGAGAGCTTGAAAACCTCATTAACACAAAATCAGGAATGTCGATGTCAAGTGTACCTGATCCAGCAACTATTTAAATAAAATGTTAACCCAGTTTCGCCGACATCGAAACCAATTAAATATCTAGAAGCAACCAGCCAATGTTAGACTCATCTCGCTTTTCTGCGATAGCCGTACGGATCGCCGCGGAGGGATTATCATTCAAAGAGTTTCGGCAACATAATTGATTTTGAATAGGCTTGGAGAATCTCCATCGCCATGATATGAGTGGAGTTCATGGAGACCATATGAAAAATCAAGAACAAACAAAATTCACAACTTATGATTACAATAATTATGACTGGGCAGTTGGTATCACCGCAGAAAAATATCATAGTGCCTGGTGGTATACCAAATATATGCGTGGGAGTAAAGATAACATATTTATTAGGTTTTTAAGTATTTTAATAGTCGCATACAGGACAAGCAAGGATTGCATATGAACAACCCTTAAAACTGTTACCATGCTGAAAATTCCTTCGCAGGAGAGTTTGATATCAATTTATCGAAACAATAAAGGAGGGTAGGTTGAAGTTTTTTTAGATGCTTATTTATTTATTTTACATTTTACATAGTTTGCTTATACTATAAACTACAAAACAGGCTTTACGTCGCTGAGCTGCACAGTGTTGATGGCCAAATTAGTCTGCCTTTCCTCATTAAACTCCAGCAAAGTTCGTTGCAGACGACACCGCAAAATATTTGCATCCTCTTCGCGCAGTGTTTGCAATTCGCTGAGCAAAAATGCCATCAAGGCCTCATTCCTATCTCCTAGCTGACATGTGGGATAGGCCACATCCGCAGCTGACTGTGTGATACTATGGTTTAAAAAGGTCTCTGAAAATGTGGTCATGGGCAATGAAACGTCGGCTGTGACTGTTTCAACGCCAGACATCGATGCGGTGTCCAATGCACTGTCATTGCTGTCCCCAATGGAGCAGATGGATATAGATGGTGTAGGGCTTTTTGCAGGAGCAGCCGCTTCAGGCGGACTGTCAACGATGAAGGAAAGTGTCTTAAAGTATTTCCAACTGAACATTTTGTTTCTTTGTGCTTGACGATATTGTGATCGCAGACTCGTCCACTTTGCGTGTACTTCATCCTCATCATATTTGCCTTTAAATTCAGCGGATATTCTTGACCAGGCCTCCTTTCTTTCATGTTTATTGCCATTCCTCATGTTATGCGAGCTCCAAATGCATAATTCCTTTTTCACCTCGCGTATTAGCTTATAAATGTCGTTCGGCTTCCAGGCTGCTTTTACTTTTGGCCGCTTTGAATTTTTTATTTTTTGTTTCATTATTCTATCAGCTTCTTTATTCCTTTTCTGTCTTTCCATTGCAGCACTCTTCCGAATTGTATCAGTACAAAATTGGCTTGTCCGCGTATTTTAATTTACTTTCGACAAATAGTCTGCATTTCCAAAACAAAATGGTCAATGCAGAAATTCGACCTATCGATAAGGAAAAAAAATCATCGCTACGTTTTGTAAATTGGGGAAGCAACTCTGTTAAATACAAAATAGTCTGTTAAATTTCAAATGCCTACATTAAGGCGATACGATAAATGTTTCTTTCGATTCATTTGTAACCAAAATTTGGCATTTATTTATTTAGAAAGGCTAGGTTAAAATGATTAAGAGAACGAGTTCGAATTTATTGAATATAATATTTGTTAAACGCGGCCAGTAATATTTGTTTATTTGCTGTAAGAAAAATGTTGTTATTAATTCAAGTCAAAATATTCCATAATTGAATTTGGCGTTTGCTGAAGCCAAGCCGTGAGCATAAAAAAAAACAAATGGCAATATGTTAACTTATATAGTACAAATCATGTTGATTATCTTGGCATGTGAGGATAAATGCATAACACAAAATTATTAAAAGTGTGGGCCAACAATATCGAAAGCTTAAGAAAATAGATAATTTTGCCATATATTCTATATGCACAAAATAATAACAGTGAAAACCATCAAATAACTAGTCTTGCAAGCACCTCATCTGAAAGTATTTCTCATCGATGAAGCGACAAAATGCCACCAGATGCCCAAATTTTTGCACAGTTTGTGCCAGCGCCATGTTGGGGAGCCTTGTTGTTAATATGGTGAATAAATGACCAAAGGCAATGGCATCCAATTCACATGGCTGATCACCAAAGAAGAAGGGTGTATCTGGTGATTCTTTCAGTTTATATTCAAGCGTCTCACAACATTTGGCCACTTTCTCGATGACATGATCGATGCTCAGATCGTGCCACTGATACACCTTCAGTTGGCGTAGTGCATTGCGACGTTTGCTATAGTTTTGCATTAAGTTTAATGGCCAGGGGTATACGGCTCCATTGCGGGGTGCTGTTATCTCTTTGTAGACGCGCTCGTTCTTAAAGCTTACATACAATTCCGCCATTGTAAAGATGTTTTCCACTAGCGAGACATATGTACGCATATCTGCCTTCTCGTCTTCATCCTGCCAGCTACCTATTGCCATGTCCTTTTGTTCCACAAAATTCACAATTGGCTCGAATTCAGCAAAAATGAACGCGCCCGCGCGTATAAATGGTAATTTGGTCATCCGTCCGCCGGGTGACATGTGCTCCGCATTAGCGCAAGAGCGCACGCCAAAGGGCAGATTGCACATCTTCAAATATGCCTTGACAGCCAGGCAGCTAGCGCTCTCCGGCAATAAAATTTGTTCCGCCTCAAAGGGCTAACGGGGTGGATTAAAACATATTTATATCAGATTTGACTTTTGCCGCGTCCATCCTACCTGATAGAGTGTGGCATCTTCGGGCCAAGGCTCCTCAGCCAGTTTGTCGGCGGTGTTAAATTGACTCAAATATTGGGAGCTTTGCATTTTCAATTGATAAATATTAAGCCTTTTATGCGGCGATGAAGTAATAAACAGCTGTCCGAGCAGAGGTTAACAACACTGGCAATAGTTTCCGTGCACAGCGACAAAAATACATGCTAGTTTAAAATGTTAGTGATAATATCTTTGTGTTTTTGGCAAACAAACCATTTGAAACGCTCCTTATTGATAAATACTTGTAGATCGTTTTGGCTATTAAACTTTAATTTAGTTTATATATGAAATAATTGTTGCTACATAAACGAATTATAAAACTGATAGTTATTTGTAACGAAATAATCGTTCAACGCGACTCGATACTTTTCTCAAGTATCGGGTACGTAATTTTAACGCTCATCTCTAATAGATTGTCACAGCTTGAACTTCTTGCTGCTCGTGTTTTGTTGTTTTTGCTTGTTTATATTAAAGTATTAAAATTATTTGTAATTGTAAAAAATATTGTCAAAATTTTTGAGTATTATATATAACTAATATTTGGAGAATAGAAAGGTGAGTTTCCGTTTAGGACCTATGCGTGTAAATATGTACAAACGTATGTGTAAACGCAAAAGAACAGTATAAAAGGCAGTATTAAGTGAAAAGTTGAAAGCATTCGCTTATCTGCTAGCAGGAGCTGCGCCACTCCCGAAAACTTTGCTGGCTAATAATCAAAAAAACGCTATTTATGCCGGCCTTACTGCGTGCGTGTGTTCAGATGTGCGTTTGTGTTGGTGTGTGTGATTCATGCGTCTGGGTCTCTGCCGCTGCGTGCCGTGCATTTTTTTTATCAGGCTGCCAAAGCAGCGTCATCACCGCGTTCATTTCCTTGAACAGCTCCCTCAGTCAGCATCGCTCACAGTTTGACGGGGGGTCGTCTATGTTCTTTTTCCTAATTTCGTGGCTTTCTCATTTGCTTGTCTGGAATTGCTGTTTGAAATTTGTTTCGTTTGATCGTTTGGTTGTTTTCAAATGTTGTTATTTCGCTTGCTCTTTGGCCTGTTTATTTTGCATTCACACTTAATTAATTTTCGTTTCGTAACTCAATTCAAATACAATGGCAAACTGGAATTTGTGTTGCCAAAAAAAAAAAAATTAAGAATTTATTCTAAGAAAACGTATATTTTTCGTGCTTTTTTTTTCTTTCTTTATTCGAGTAATATGTATACTGAACATATCAAAGCAAAAATATACAAAACTGAATAAAAATACAATTTTATTATCTCGATTGTCGCAGAACATGCGTCACAATAACAATTACAGTACCGAGAATAAGTCAACAACTATTTTTAATTTAGTACGTTATGCATTTGAGTAACCCATTTGATACAAACTAGGAAATATTGTAATTGAAATTGAACGAAATTATCGTTTCACAGAAATGAAAATGGGTATTTAAAACGAAGCAACGTGTATTTAGATAATGAAAAACAAAGCCAACAACAAACTCAGATAAAGAAAAAAAATGTAAAATGTTTGCGTGTGGGGGCTATCGTAGTCAACCCATTCTGGTCAATATTATTCAATGTCGGCCCGACCCCCTCCTCCTCATCCCTGCAACAGTTCTCGCTCTATCGCTGTTAATATGTTTCTGCCTTATCTGTCCATGCGGGCCCGTATTTGGCCAGGTCTGTGTACGTACATATGTATGTACATATGTGTGCACATACATGTAGATACATATATATATATGTGTGTACATATATGTATATTTATGTTTGCATGCGAACCCAGCTGCATCCATGTGTTGGCCAGCATTCTTTCTGCTCCTCCAAAGTGTGGCCAAAGTAGCGTTCACTTATGCGTTAATAATTCGATTTTAATCAATATTATTGAACGGAAAAAACAATCCCCTGGGCGCATATATATTGTTATGCTGGCTTAGGTATTTGTGGTATATGTTATTATTATTTAAATAAGATATTTGTTATTAAAAGTATATTAATACATATGAGATTTGTCGAACGTTTTATAATGAATATATGTGTATATAAAGTATGTTCCATTATCGCCCACATATTGTTGACAATATTAAAAATATGAATTTGACTCACAAGCAGAAAAATTGCTCAACAGCATTGCACATATGTATATATTTATGTTATTAACATTTTGTTACTCTGCATTACAGTTAGAGTGCCATGGCCGAAACAGAGACGCACCAACATGCTGATCCGCATGATGAGGATGTGCACGATGCCAATTATCAAGCCCCACCTGAGAAGACTATTGAAGATCTGATGGCTGTCGATCAGGAAGATGAGAGTTTGCGACGTTATAAGGAGGCATTGTTGGGTGCAGCGCAAGCCGAAAAGATTATTGTTGGTTAGTATTCACAAAGATTAAGACTGAACAAGTTTAGTGAACAAAACATATTTTCCCCCAAAAAGAACCGAATGACAGCCGAAAAGTTATTGTTAAGAAACTGGCGCTAGTCGTCGAAGGTCGGGATGATATGGAATTGGACTTAAGCGGCGATATTAGTCAGCTCAAAAAGCAGGTTTGTTTATATTTTACAGTCTCTTATGCGGTCATAACTGATTTTTTAACTTTCCTTAGCTCTTTGTGATCAAAGAAGGTGTTCAATATAAGGTGCGGATCGATTTTATTGTACAACGTGAAATTGTGCATGGCCTTAAGTATGTGCAAAAGACCTACCGAATGGGTGTGCCAGGTAAGCATATCATTCACAAGCTGACTTAAAGGGAACTTAGCGAATTGTGTGGATTATGGCTGGGACAACAGATATCTGATGTAACTAAGAAATCACCTGCTTCTTATATATCTCAGCAAATAGGCAATGTTTGCTTTGGTAAACGATACGTGCATAACACTTGTCCAGCGTCAGTTGGCGCTGCCGAGCTCAGTCTCTGCACTTGACGGGCTTTCAACGGACACAGTCACATTGGTGTATCTCTTAGCTAGTGTTAGTACCTTTTATACCTTCAAGCAAATCAGATTAGATATTTGTACAATGGGCAGCAGCTTCGATGGCACGGCTTTGCTGTGCGGGATATTCAGTGTAGCCTACATAGTGGTTATAACATTTGCAATATTTACAATAATAATGTGCTAAAACAACATTAAATGTGAAATTTTGTTTGTATTTAATGCCTAACCCATGCTGGATAATTCATTTATATACCCTTAAGTTGTTGGTAAGCCCTTGCTTTGTCGCTTTACAATACATATGCTTATAATAATAATCGTATTTTCTAATTAAAATGTTCTATTTTTCGCAGTGGACAAAATGACGCATATGGTCGGCTCCTATCCCCCTAAAAAGGAAATACAATCCTATTTGACGCCAGCTGAGGAGGCGCCCTCGGGCATGGTATCGAGGGGTACCTACTCGGTGTCGTCGGTATTTACGGATGATGACAAGCACATACATCTTAAGTGGGATTGGACCTTCGAGATCAAGAAGGACTGGGCATAAGACATACCACACACACACACACACAACTTCGCACAGACACTATACATACACACACCCACACAGACATGCACACGCATACAACTTGTCCCAAATTAATGTAAACTATTTTTTGTGAATTTGGTAACAAATGTTAAGCAAAATTCCTATTTGTCAAGTATTTTTGTTAACGGTATTACCTTAAATGTTTTGGAAAATATGTAAATGAAGTCGTAAAAAGTATTTTTGATACAATATAACTGAAGTGTGTGTTAACAATAAGTACTTCACGCCTATGTTGCTTTATTAAAGCAAGTCAGTCAGTCAGTCAGTCAATCAATCAATCAATCAGTCAGTCATTTGTACCACTTAACTCAGTCAGTTCTAAATGCCATTGGATATGTATAACATAAACTTTCAAACTGTTCTTAAAACGAATGATAAACTTTAAGAAAGTTTTGTGCATTTTGCCTTGTATTAAAAGCGTAAACGTAATGAATGCCTCCTTGATTCGATTCGTATTTAAGAATTCGTTTAAAAATGAAAATAATATCCAAAAAGATGTAATCCACCGCATCTTTGATATATATGTATTTAATCTAAGCGTAACTGTTCAATGCATTTGATAATTAATTGTAAAAGCTACAACATGAAAAAGCTCATTCTGTATTCGATTCTTACTATCTGTCTGTGTAATTTGTGAACAATTTAAGTGAATGCAAGCAACTGAAAAGCAATGAGAATAAAATGTATTAAAATGTATAAATCACATCTTTTCGTTTATTTCCTGTTGTGCAAGATTATGTTAACATTTAAGTAAAAGTCGCTCATACGCCACGTGAGTCCATGGAAAATCTATACGAACATTTTGTGCAGGGCTCACAAAACGAAGCATGTGCGTTAGCTGCAGAGAGAACGAGAGAGCGTTTGCTAGCTTTGTTTAGGATTGTGTTCAACTTGTTGCCAAGTGTTAATGCAATTTAAATTACACAAATTAATACATAAAATATTTAAACGTACATTGGCCAACAATTAAATGGACAGTTAAAAATCATGGGGAAGCTCCAGGAAATGCCGTGAGAATCGAAACCAAATTGCGCGTAATGGGACATAATAACATTGAAGGCCTGTGGCCAATTTTTTAAAAAAACAACAAACAGGAAATTAAGCAGAGTATTTCTTACAGCATTCAGATATGTCTCTAGAATAGCCAAGATAATGTTACGTAATTCAATTTTGAATTCAACTAAATGCAAGTTCACATATCTGCTGGCCTTTGACGTTAATGGATGGACAGCAAGCAGCAGCAGCTGCATGCCAGCAACTCTTCCTTTGTCCATATTGACAGTGACTGCCCAACATTTTGGCCTTGACCCGACTTCACAACTTTTTACAGCACGAAAAAGAAGCAAGACAAGGGCAAAAAAAGGTAATAATATTGAGCATTTAATATCGCTCGGCAAGGAAATGTCCTACCTCTGGTTTTAGATTTCATAAAAACCTGTGTACATGTCAGGAGGTAGGCATTCAATTAGAAGAATCTTGGAAATTTGAAAGGTTAATTGGGGGTTTACCTTACTTAATCACATATTCCTTATTATTTTCAAAATATACATATTATATAATATCGGAACACATAATACCCTGTTTAAGGGTAAACAGGGTAACAAATGAATTGCGCGGACATTTTCCCCGTACGGACGCGTTTTAACTGCAGCTGCTGCAAATGGCTTCTGAGCGTTTGTTACCTGAATATATTACACAGTGCTTCAGGTGTGGGTTTATTATCGTGAAAATTACGTTTGTTTTTGTCGACTGGCTTTCTATTTGCTACATTTGCAAAATCAGTGTCTATTATTCACGCATAAATACACGGTCATATTTATTTGACTTTTAGTTAAAGCTAATAAGGAAAAACCTAAGCATAAAATTCAATTTCGCATATTGTCCCTTTTTCTGGGCCTAACTGCCAAATGTGTCTATTAAAACTTAATTGAATATGCCAAAGATTTGTGCGTGCGGCTCATTTCGTATGCCGAGACGCAAGCGAACGTGTAAAAGTTTTGGGGACCTGCGTTGCGCATGATGAATTTAATTTGGACCAGGCTTTTGGGTAGTTTCCAAAGACAACTTATTGCCTGTATTAAATGTCCTGCATGCGAAAACACGCCTTGCGGGTATATTATACCTGTGCAGGCAGAAGTATGTATCTCCTGTGCTCATAGTTTGCATTACTCCTTTTAACATTTTCGAGAATTTATCGAGCTTTTTGTTATCTTTAAATGGCAGTCAGTGATGGCTACTGTCATAAAGTGACTAAGTTATGCAATACAAAATGCCTATTAACATTTTTTATGGTCAGAATCAAAGGCCAGTTTCCGGCAAACCAAAAAGGTCAACACATATCTATATAGAAAGCATACGGCTCCTGTTATGGGTTAGCTTTAAGCAGATTCCAATGACAGAAAGTCGCCGAAAGGCACGCACTGGCCACGCCCACCAACAAAGAGCACAAGGGGCGGACAACAGATTTATATGGAAGCCAACAAACAGGACACATTTCTAATTTTTTTTTCGATGGTGTTCAAAGTTTGTTATGCGCTAAGAAAAAGCTCGAGTCGGGGCGAGTGTGAAACGTAGGTGTCGTCTTCTGTTGGTTGCCATTTTTTTTGTTTTCTATCGGACAGAAAAATAATTTGCGTTTATATTGAATTTCTTTCGTGCTTTCGTTTTTGAAAAATTGTTGGATTTATGCATATATTTATTCAAATGGGCCAGCTCATCTACATTTGTTGAGGCATTGATTTTAGACATTAAAGATATTCCGTTCAGCAGCACTTCAATCAGTGAAGTCTAATAATGATTGTGAGATGAAACAATTTGTTGCCCTGCGTGATTTTGATTGTTAAATTTGCAGTCAGACGCAATTTTATGATCAACTCTACAGGGTATTCAAAGAATCAAAGATTTGTATAAAATTTTACAAGTTTTTGGGGTTCGACTTTAATACTTAAATTTTATCGTGTAACAAAAGTTATTTGTTCAGATAGTTCACAGAATTACAAGCTGTGCAAAATGTACAGCGCTCAACATTGTCAAGCTGTGAGGGTTATGTGTGAATAAATAAAACCAAAGCACACTTCTGGGCGTTGTACATGGTAAATATGACAGCTGTTGACACACACACACACACATGCAAGCCCGCAAAAACCATCCTGTTGTTGTTTTTGTGGCCTTTGTTGACTGTGCAGTTTTCTAATTAAGTCGGGCGCACTAATTAAAGCACATTCTGTAATTAGGATACATGCTGTACCCAACTGATGTCGTTCCCGTCTGTTACTGCAAAAAACCGTATTTTATAGGCCTTTGTTTTATTTTTTTTAAATTTGTGTTTCCCAACTTAAAAGTTATTCAAACTTTAGGGCAATTGATTTTCTTGGTGTTGTGCCTTTGACAAAGTTCAAGGGTCACTCAGTCATTACTAATGCAAGAGTCTTGATAGCAGTGTATGGCCTGACACGGTAGGATTGACAAGTCTAGGTCGCTCCCCAAAGTAGTTCATTAAATAGTTATTTTTATATTAGCTGGCAGTTGCAAGGCTAGCAGCTGGTTAAAATTTTACAGATAGTACACACGTGCAATGGGGAAAAGCTTTTAAATGCTGACAATAATTTAAAATAAAAATAACTGTAACCTTTACACTTACCTCGATCAAAGAGCATTGGCTCATTTCGAATTCAAGACGAAGTCCATATCCTTGAAAGGTTTCTCACGCCAGCCTAAAATTAAGACCGACTGGCTTTACCAAGTTTTCAACTTGTGCGCGCTGGTCCGAGCCTAAACATGATTTGATTCCAATAACACCATGACTTATGCATAGCGAAGAAATTATCCTTCTTGGGCCTCAAAGGCGACACAGTTGAGCGTCATGTTGACAAGGGATTGACGTAAGAAGCTTTTAATCTATTGCCAGCCACATATTTTAAATTTATGCAAAATCCATTTGTGTTTTCAGCTAGTTAATTTGCGTTGTACAATAAATCTTTTTTAAAGTTGCTTCACTTGCGTAAAATTATGTTGGGATTTACACATTTTAAGTTGTATCCATTTTATTTATTTGCCAATTTGCGCTGTTTTATTTATGCAAATTTCTAATATCCGTGTGCGAGAGTTGTGTGCACACCAGCAGGCGTGTAATTGTTGTCTGTGTAATTGTTGCACGCTGTGCACTTAATTTATGCATCGATTGTAATTGCTTCAGGACTATGACAAAGGCTGCAAACAGAATAAAAAGTTACATAATTACTATTTAGCATTAATAGTTTAAAAGAAATTTATAAATGTGGCGATTCTTATTAAAGGAAAAGAATCAGTTTTATTTAATAAGTAAAATTCCTTTTATCCAGATCTATACTATCGGGCTTAATATCAGGCTATGTGTTGCAGGCTGCCTCAATTAAAACTCAGCTGCAATGGGCAGCCCGTTTATAGCGTTTTCTTTACATTATGAGTTACATTCATGATCTGTTTATAACATTTTTAACTGAAGCCCAGATGCAATGGGCACTTCCTTTTATACTGTGAAGAGCTCGCATTCATGATCTGTTATTAACATATTTCTGCAAACACAAACACACTATTACACCTTCCGTCCTGGACCACGGCACAGCTTCGACTGAAACCCAGCTGCAATGAGCTGCCCTTTTTATACTGTGACGAGCTTACATTTATGATCTGTTGTTAACATATTTATGCAAACACAAATACGCTACTATACCTTCCGTCCTGGGCCGCGGTACGGCTTCGACTGAAACCCAGCTGCAATGGACACTTCCTTTTATACTGTGATGAGCTCGCATTCATGATCTGTTATTAACATATTTATGCAAACACAAACACACTAATACACCTTCCGTCCTGTGCCGCGGCACAGCTTCGACTGAAACCCAGCTGCAATGGGCATCCCTTTATATACTGTGACCAGCTAACATTCATGATCTGTTATTAACACTTACATACAATTACACGACAATACACACTTTAAC